AAAGTAGGCAAAAACTGCAAATACGTATCTTAACATGTGTCCACGGAGTGATCCGAATGCCTACGATTATCTTAAAAAGAACGAAAATATCTTTAGTACCCGCGATCGACTCTTTTACAATACACACAGAAATGTATATCTAGAATGTTTCACAATTGTTCGAGTAAATTAGTAAAAAAGTATTTTCTTTTTTTATAGTGGTAATGGGTGTGTGATTTATATGTCGCAAAATCTGCAGTGTAGTTTCGCCATACTGCCATAAAATACTTTCCGTCATTGGAGGTCGTTACGAATTGGTACAGTGTGTGAGCATAAACTATTCTTTCGGATGATCATGTACATGCCATTAATCTTTTTCGCATTTAAATGCTTCCTACGAATTAAGAATAATTATTGATCGCAATCGTCTTTGTCACAATCGCATGGATTTTGTTACGCAGTCTTTGTGTTCTATCATTCTGTCTGTATCAAATCCGTTAAGTCTGTCAGTATCATCCAACATGTGTCTGAAACAGAGACACAAAGAAATTGTGGCCACTGCTTCTGTTCGACCAACGAATGCTTCTGTGCAGAACTTGGTTTCTGGATTTAGAAGCAGCTGATATACGAAGCTCGAGCCAGATTTCACTCTGTTCGATGCTAATCGTTGGTTCATTTATTCGTATCCTGATGAAGATTAGATTAGTATCTTATTTGTCGTGGCGCATTAGCTGCGTCCCGACAGGTTACAACAGGAGGGGAAATAACAGGCTTTGCCTTCGATATGTATCTTTTTTTTTCCTGCGAGGGTCCTAAATATTTCATTAGGACATACTCTGCTCTTCGTTGTTTGTCGTGTCCTCCATCACAGTAAAACTATGACCAGCGAGGCATTTCCAAAGCAGTTTGTGAGCAGTTTCGGTGACCGTTTTATCAAGCGATAATTGTCTTCATCTTGGATATGACGAAAGTCCATTTTCTTTCCATTAGATGTGTATTATTACATCCCAGCGATACCGATAAATAATTTGTGCTCACACGCTATACGTACATGGACTTCAGATATTTTGAAAGTATAACACATATGGACAGAACGATCGCGAATAACAGTACATTCATATATACAACTTGCGATGTAGTATTCACCATAGAAATGCAACGCAATGCGTCAATCTCTATTTTTCTTTTTTTCTTCCAAACATGTTCGAAGCTGGTTGACATGTTTCATTATTTTATGCGTACAAGAGTAATTTTAGTTTCAATTGATCGAATTAAAGGAATGGCCTACACCTTATAGAAAATACATTTTAATCAAAATTGAATTGTAATGATGAAGGTCAATCAGCGTCGTACAAATTTCAGCCAACTATGGTCTCTATATAAACTTTAGTCTTACATTGCGTTGCAACCCTGATAATGCTTAATGTAAACTAGTTTCCATTGTGCACATAATGATGCTTATTTTATGTAGGATATCACATTCAAAATTTCTGTTCATCAAATGAGGACACAATCGTACTATTTTCCTATATTAATCGATAATACTTAACAGCTACTTTGAGACCCCCTTAGGACATGATTTTAATGCATATTCTGAAATGGAGCGAGTGCATTGGTATGCAAAGTGCATATGTTATTTTGAAAAATAAACATCATTATGTTTGTAAAACATAATTAAATCGGCAGTAAACAGACTCTAAGTATTACTTGCATATTCTCATATTTTCGACAATCAGCAAGTATTCAAAGGTATACGTGCTGAGAAAAATTATTCACGCATGAGACGATCGAGGAGATTCAACTTAATGGCTTTGAATAACATTTCGCCTAATCTGGAAGGTTCAACGTACAAAAATTAAAATAGAAAAAAAAGAAAAAAACTATAGTGCTGAATCACACTAATATTATTTTCCCTTTAAATCATTTTTAAATCTATACATCCATCAAATCCCATCTTCGTTTGTATACGTATCATGATTCGAATGAAGGACAATTGCTCTCGCGAAACATAAACATTACGGATTCATATCTTTTACAATAAGTAACACATTCAAATGTTTTACCGGGTTAAGGTAAAAAGAAGCTTGTTGTTGCACGCGTTTACCCTACGACAAAAAAACATTCTTCTCGTTCTACGTTTCTTTTTGAATACGCAACAAGCTTATTTTTACTTTATTGCGAAAAGGTACACTGTCAGTAGCAAATAAAGGTTTTGGGTGACCAAAATCGATGGAAAAACGTTGCGTAACTTCATAGAATGTGACGAATAGAACATGGCAAGATACCCAATACCTTTACGTCTTCATTGAAATCATGATAAAGAAGCACCACGTACCACATGTATAGACGCATGCATCGATAAAATAATAAGTAGAATGAGAAAATGTTTGATGTGAATCTTACTTTCTTCGATCTCTATCGAATACTTATTTGTTAAATGCTTCCAATGGGATCTGTCCTCGCTTGAAGAACTGTTGAAACACCGAAAGCGCGTTGTCGTAATTCCACTGCACCTCCTCCAGACATTTTAGACTCCATTCTAGGTTCATGTTCGTTTGTTGACTGAGCGTTGCGGTCATCTGTTGTTTTACGTCTTCAGATATCTGCGGTGGTACTGGTTTCACAGCGGTGCTGCTCGATGCTACTGCTACTGCTGCCGCTGCCGCTGCCGCTGCCTGCGGCGATGGACTTGCAATTTCTGATTCCAACTGAGTGTTCAAGTGTTTTATCTGAGCGTCTGTTGGATTACTAATGTGTAACTGTTCGTTCCGAATACAGTAACCAGTTCCTTCAGGTACTATTGTGAATGTTCTGTTAAAGTAACGTATAGACTCATCTTTTTTGTCTACCTCTTTAAAGAGACCAGTGACCGTGATTAACATCATCACTTCCTGTAACCATTGTAATATGATTATACAGATGAAGATGGGAAATTAATTATTTTTCTTATCAAACAAGAAGGAAGTCTCTTACCGTCACTAGGCTGATATCCATAGTAAACGTATTTAGATAATGGGAGGTTTGTGGCATTTCAGAGATAAATGAAACTACGGGTAACCTCCCGTGCTTCAATAGTTTGTGCCTTTTGTTTGTATCGTTAATTCTATACAAATTCCTGTTCTTCATAAGATATCCGTTTAATCTAGAATTGGTTAAATTATTAGCGTCGAATACTTTTTAATCGTGGATATGAGATCCATTTAAAATAAACTTACTTATTACTATTGTGAGTGTAAGACACTGTCATGCTGAAATACGCGTGTTCGTCATACGCGTCTAATAACGGCTGACGATTTTCGCTATCGAATATAAGAAAATATTGTTGCAGAAATTGGCTAGCAATTTCTTGCGCTTTCGTGTTTGCAACAAATATTCTTCGAGAAGGTGGCAATTTGTTTCCGTCGTCCGCTACGTCGAACAGAATTGGTTTAGGAAGCTCCATACCATCCTATTAAAGATGTAAAAATAATTATGGATACTTAATTTCATTAGTTTACGAGTAATAATAACTTACCAGCCGTAGGAGTTTGGGAAACCGTTTCCGCACGTCGCTAATGTCAGGAAAGAAAAGCCAGAAGCCCGGAAGCTCCAAGTTAGTCGGAATAACAGAAACATTTGCCTTATTATTGGAGTATAATACAGAAGAAGATACACAGACCGTTTAGAACAATCCAGGGACAATTGTTCTCTACTAATTAATTCCCACTACTAAATTTTAAGTATTCCAGGTGACAAATCAAAACAAAATTATTTTAAATGTATGAGGAAGTTCTGTTAAGCTGCCCATAGTTTTGTTCAGTATATGAACATTTTATCTGAACGTAGTGAACATTTATGATGCATTAGCAGCTTCAGGAAATTATCCACCTGGAGAATTCTTTTATCAAGAGTAGAGAGATTGTATGAGACAATACATTACCTTATATATTCGTCTTGTCGAGTTTTATACTTGTTGCATAGGGGATTTCCAGATAGCTTCAGTTCCTCCAGTTTCAAGTCCTTGAAATGATCTATTTGCTTAATTTCTTTTATCTGAAAATATTAAGTACACCATATCTCATGTACATTTACATAAAATTAAAAGAAAAAGGGGTACCAATTAGTTGATACACAATTATTGACCTTATTGTCCCCGATGTACAGAATCTTCAATTTGGAAAATTTTTTGTTCAAAACATTTAACTTCTCCAGTACGTGTAATCTATTTCCATCTAAATTCAGTGCCTCCAGATTTGGTATGTGTTCTGATGCAATGTCTAATACAGTTTTTAACAGTATATTTCGAGACAGAGCACAGAAATAATCAGCAACAAGATCTATAATGGAAAATCGCATCTAGTTAATACATTTAATATAACAGGGAACATATTTAAAACTTAGAAGGATTCTTACCAGGATCATGATGAAACTTTGATAAATCTAAGGCATTAGTTTCATTTACGTAACGTTTAGCCATGGCTTGTTTCAGTTTTTCTTTTAATTTATTATCAATTCCACAATGTGGAAATGCTGGTTGAAAAACCTTCACTTGTAATTTAAATCCATCTGTAGTTGTAATTTTTTGATGACAATTAATTAGCGCCATTGCTGCTTTTTGATCATCCACATAAAAACTGGCTTCGTTTCCAGATACCTTGTACTATTAAAAAATGTCGAAACATCATTATTAAATTGCATCATTAATCTGATCACATGTAATGAAAAACAGTTCTTATTTACCATTATTGGAACAAAAGTTTCTGGTGCCATATAACTAAGAAGATTGTTTAATATATATTCCTTCTCATATTTATGTCCATATGGTATCTGGAATGAAAGGAAAATAAATTCTGTACTGTACATTGGATTAAATTAAATGTCAACAGTTACAATTTCACTTACAACAATTTTATAACAATTGGGTTCTCTAGCAAACATATGTCTAACACTTGGAATACACTTTCCTCCTCTGAATGTGAAGTGAATTGAAGGTAAAGGACTGATTCTTCCACGTTGCATGCCTTTGTCTCTTCCTCTCATAACAACCTGCCTATTATTGTTATTGGAACTTGTGGCCATTTGAACATCATCGTCTAAGCATGCTAAAGCCAAGTTCCTAGTTAATTCATTGGAGGGTCTGGTCTGAGTCTTGAAAGATACCCTCGGTCTACTCCCAAGATGTAGACCTCCATTATTTCGTGGTATACGATCATCGTGTCCTATGTAACATGCAAAATTATAGAAATTAATTTCTTCGAAAAACTGATTAATTCAATTTATTCGATCACCATGATGCATGTATGGTGTAATCGTAAATTTTCAAACAATGCTGCCAATAATATTTGGAACTTTCACCAATGATGTGCTTATATCACTTTTTTTTTTAAATAATCTAATTGTAAAGTGTGATTATGAAGAATAATAAAATACTGAAGTGAAAGTATTACCAAAATAGGATAATCAGGGTAAGTAGATTGATAAAACAACAATATGATGCCAATGGATCGAACGTGTAGCTACAGTATAATGTCCATAAAAAAATAGGCCATAAAGACGCAGAATGTAACAGCAGAAACATTTACCAAAATAGTGTTTGTCATCCGAATTGCCAGTTCTTCTGTTCCGACCACCCCATGAACTTTTATGGAATCTTGACATCTTTTAAGTCGTGCTAGATACGATCATAAGTGAAACATAAAGATCGTCGCAAATATTCTTTAAGGTTAGAAACCAACGAGCTTTTACGCACTTCGCTGACGTTTGCCCGTTTGTGTTTAAATGAACGTTGACAATAATACTGTTAACTACCTGGATTCAGCGATACAACTTTTCCACTTATATTACCACGCGTTCCAATGAAATAGAGAAAGTTTCACCTCAAAAAACACGATTATTATGTTCCGTCCGATAAATCGGAAGAAGATGGCGGGGTATGGAATCCGATGGGTGGGTTAAAAGACGCTTGGCTTTGTTGGATCCACCAATGTTAATAAAAAGCGCGCTTAAAGAAGAATTTTAAAAGCGTGGATATCACGTATCTTTTTGAAATTTGTAATTTTATCCGATAAGAGTCATTGGAGTAGAGCAAATGTACTATAGTATGTACTTTAGGATAACTTTTTCTACCTGCCAGAGGAAAATAATATTCATTGACTTTATTTTGTTGTTATTAAATTGTTAATAAAATAAGATTTTCTTCGTAGATTACGGTATTTAATGTTACTGGATTGTTTATGAAACTCCTTTGAATTATCGCTGGACATTAATAATTGTTTTAAAAGCGTTTAGTCATAATCGATGAAATCTTTCTGTAACCTTTTTTTTACAGTAAAAAATACATACAATTAAATTTTCGTTTCAGCTGATAACTCTCAGATTGTCGAGGATGAAAAAAATTAGAATATGCGATTGGCGGCACTGGTAATGTCATATGGTCTGAAATGTTTTGAGTTGTTAAACGAGTTGTTAATGTTGTTACGTTTCTGTGAATAAATATAAAAGTTTTTTAAATACTAAGCAACAATGGTACGTATTTTCAGAACTCTGCAAACTCAGTAGCATAAAATGATCAAATTTCCATGTCTGTTTTCAAAAATTTAAGAATATAACCTAGAAAAAAACATTTATACTTTAAGATTACGAATGGTAACATAATTGTTAACTGTGGAAGATGATTTGCACTAACTTTTTGTAAATTCGTTTCGTACAGGGGAAAAACAAGAAAACGCGGAAAGTTGTTATGCAGAAGTTTGCACAAATGAAGAAGATGATAAATCTGAATGACCCAAGGATGTAAGTGGTTTTCCTAGTGATAATAAAATACATTTTCTTAACAAAATCGCTTATAAATATATTACATGATGTTATTTTACCGTTTCTAGAAAACCAGAAAAGAGAATAGTATCTCAGAAACATAAGAAGGCAGACCCAACTAAGATGAAAATAACAGAAGCGTAAATATCATTGATTACATATCAATATTTCATTGATAATTCTAAAGTAATTGTGGTATGTTGTTACAGGCCCCAGCAATCTTCTGCATTGTTCTTCCAATATAATACACAGCTAGGTCCTCCCTACCATATATTAATAGACACCAACTTCATTAATTTTTCAATTAAAAACAAACTAGATATCATAGAAAGTATGATGCAGTGTCTTTATGCAAAATGCATACCGTATATAACAGACTGTGTGATGGGAGAGTTAGAAAAACTCGGACAAAAGTACAAGATAGCATTGAAGATCATAAAGGATCCTAGATTCGAAAGGCTAAACTGCATGCACAGAGGTACTTACGCGGACGACTGTATCGTTAACAGAGTGACTCAAGTAAGTGTGAACTTTAGAGGTAAAGAGGTTGGTCCCGGCAGCCCTTAACCGCAATATCATACTATTTCAGCACAAATGTTACATAGTGGCAACGAATGATAAAGACTTGAAAAGGCGGATACGTAAGATACCCGGTGTGCCTATAATGTACGTCGCACAGCACAGATACACCATAGAGAGAATGCCAGACGCGTATGGAGCGCCTAAAATCTAACCGTTCGGCGTTATAATATTTTCCACTGTCTCAGATATTAATAAAGCCCTATATTTTATTCGTAAAGGTGATCTCACGTGGTTAACTCAATTGCAAAATCCGTTGGAACGAAACTGTACCATACGTATAACAAAACTATTGCCCGATTCCAGGACCAGCACGCGTCTCCTACCAGCTGCGTGAACCAAAAGTAATTTACTTCTTCGGTCACTCGCCGTAGACTATTAACCAGACTCTAACTACCGGAAACTCAGCGTCGTTCTTACGAAAAGATGTCAGGTCACTTATCATTCCCGCAAATAACACGGCCTGCGATCGTCCCTCGCAGCCCCAGAAGTTCAGCTGGCAGAGTTTAAGCCCTGTCAGGCGCGTTTTATCAGCCCCCTTGAAAGGCGGTAAACGATCTCGGCGACGTTACCAAGTAGTTTCTTTCGAGGGCGATTCAGAAGCGCGGATCGATACGTCTTCCGTGCAGGCGGAGCGGCCGAAGATAAACTGGGCGAGCGTGTTACAGTTATTGTTCGGTGAAACAATGAAGCTGCTGCGTGTAAACGCCCACGTGGCGGCCAGGCACCCAGATAGAATTTTACTGTTTCGTGGCCGATGCTGGCCCCTATATGGGCCGCCGCACGAAATATAAAGTTAGACAAGTGGGCGCAAAACGGCGTTCCCGAGTGAAGAACGGTCCCGCCACGAATTTATCACGGGTGCGCCCGCGAAATCAGTCGTTAGGAGGTCTCCTCCTTCGCTCGTCGGGCAGGCCGGCGAGATAAACGCCGCGTTGGCGATCGTTACGCTTACCTACGCGGAAAACGATCAGATTTCCGGAGCCGGACGGGCCGGGCCGGCCCGGGCCCGCCACGGATCGCGATACCAGGCCGGATGAGATTTATGAGCCGCGATGCACCGGCGCGCGTCGCGTCGCGTCGCGTCGATTGCAGTTCGTTCCTTCCGCGCGACGGAGCTGCTACCCCTCGCAGAAGGTACATTGAACAATTTTCGGATTCCTTCGAATCTCTCATGGTTCACGATAACAGCTTTCAGATCGAAATAAATGATTTTCCCTTGCAGCGATGTCAACGACTGCGTACGACGAAAGTTAGAAACCGTGACTCAATAAACTAAAAGGTAACGGATACACGATTTTATCAACCTCTATCTTTCTCCTTTGTTCAACGGTAGGTTTACGGATTACGATCTGACGCGTATCGAATTTCTCGAACATTATTCGATAAACATCGCTTTCGATCGATGCTGTTAAATATATATTCCGATTGTTTTCTAAATAATACGTTAAACCACGATAAACGTCTATGAACCTAGCGTTAATTCGTACGGTATGAATGATTCAACTAATCGCGGGATCAGCCCGTTCGAAATCATTCGATCGCACCGGTCGAGGACTCGACGAGGAGCAAGGACATAAAACAATCTAAGGCGATAACGTCGAACGGGAGGGGTGGATTTTTCAGTGAACGGGACAGGGGCCGAGTGAATTGAGCGTATCTCGGCCTACTACTGTAAAACGCGTCGTCGGCTGACTCTTCACGGTCATTACTACTTGTTTTTCGCGGCTCGAACGCCGGCTGGTGCTCGCCTCCTGTATAATTAATTAGCTGCGCCGCGGCGCGTAGTGATAAACGATAAGCGGGGCCGATCGGCGCGCGCGTTAAGGGAAGAGTACAGAATAGAAATTCTATTCCGGCCTCGTGCCGTTCGGATAAATGTCAGGATCCTCTCCCCTTCGCGTTTCGGGCCCCGCGACCTTTCTAATAACGCGGGGGACCGACAAATGGCGCATGCACGCGCGTTCCTGTACCGCCGAACGACGAATATTAATCACGCGCGTACCGGCCGCGCATCCTGCCGCGCCCTCCCTCGCGACAAATACCTCGAATTAACCCTCGCCGACCGGGAAGCGACGCCGTCGAACACGGCACTCGACTTTAACGATTACGAATAATTTAACCCTCCGCGGACGAACGCTCCCAGACGCTTTAAGACCATCTAAACCTTTTTGTCCGTGGAATATCACGTTGGACATCGAACCCTTAAGCGCTCAATGGCGTTCGGCGAGCACGCTCGTCGCGAGGGAATGACCAACTTTCGCGTAACGAGTGGACTCGGTGAAACTCAATTATCTTCCGCCCGTAAACATTGAAATTTGCGTAAACCCTTCACGGTGGAATTACTCGTACCGCGGTCCAATATATCGTGCGGTTAGCATTGGGCCCAAGTTCACGACGTATTATTGAATAGACCACTCGACGATCGGAAACATTTCATTAGGAAATGGAATTACGCGTGTTCGCCGAGCTCTGGCTTTGCATTAGGAAATAAATGGAGCGAATTCGCTGGCAAAGTTGAAAGGCTGAAGGAAATTACACGTTCGCTTTGGAATGATCAGTTTAGCCGGCTACTCGGAGCTCGTTCAATTCCGAATCGGACGCATACTCCCGAGCCCTTCCCGGCTAAACGAACCATTCGACACTGTATAGTTATTCGAATCGGTCGGTAGCTCCCGGTGTCAGGCCCATCTGCGGATCGTTCCTCCGAACCAGCCTCCCGATCCCTCGAATACGAGAAACCCGTTATCGACACTTCGCCAGTGGTTGATCCGATAAGAGAACGGCCTAGAAAGAATCCAGGGGCGTCGCTGAGGTCGGCCGCCTTATGAAGTCCTCAAAAACGCCCACCTCCGTGGGTTAACGACTTCCCTCCAGAAGTCGTAGGGGGTTCCGGTAACGTAAGGGTCGATCCACACTATCGGCCCGCTCTCGATCCACTCTCGTCCCGATCGGACAAGGTTCGATCGTGTAACATCGATGCGCTCCCATTACGAATCCCGATCTAATCTTTATGTTCGTTCATCGGAACGGAAATACTGCAAGAACGTTAACCGATCGTCCGGGTGATCGGCTTACGTTACGAATTCTAGAGTGGCCACATTGGCGTACACATATAAGTGCATCTTAATTAAAAAAAAGAAAATCGATGCATCAACGATATAGAACAGATTGATCACCCCTGATACGGATCCATCGGATGAAGCGGGGGTCCGTTCGCGTGATCCGCGCGAACGAGGTCCGTCCCATCGCTGGCCGGCCGTGGTCGCCCATACGGATCGCGGCTACCCAGTAAACTAGATTAAAGGAAAACAGCGAGGCGAATATCTAGTCGGCCGTGGCAGCGCGGCTCCGCTCTCCGGCAGGCGAAAACGCGGCACGGGGAAGGCGGGAGAGCCGGGAGGGCACGGAGCGTTCGAAGCGTTCGATCGTGGTAACGGATTAGTTATAAAAGTGGCTATAGGGCCTATACGCGGATATATATCTACGGCGTCGTGGTCTCCTGGACCTCTTCGCTCGAACGTCTCCGGTCCCACTCTTCCTCATTCGTCCCACACCCCTGTCATCCCACCTCTCACGCCACCCCTC